TATTGGCTCCCGGTAGCTTGATGTGTTTGGCTAACATATCCAGATGGTTCCTGATTTATGGTGGTTGAGTTTAAGATTTTTCCACTTTTGGCCGTGGGAAAGCAAAGCACACTCAGGATATATTGCACTTCCTGTTTTGATCCTATCCACACAATGTGGTCAATTTCCAGCTCCAACAGTAGTTTCTACTGCTGTTTATAGTGAGTCCCCTTCTGATAACTCCTAAGGTTATATTACGGAAGTTACTTAGGATGAGACCCCTAGATAGCCTCAGGCTGGTGCCAGTTGCCAGAAAGACCAGTGCTCTTTGGGTGAGAGGATTGTAGCTTCTTTCAACCCTACCCACTGGTGTCTGGAAAAGCGGGGAGAGGGAATATCACTAGCTGTTAGGTTTTATAAAAACTCTTGAATTGCAAGACTTGAGATTCCAGATCACTGGGCATGAGTAAGTACCGGGTGGGGGTGTGGCATGCCCGGGGCAAGCACCGAATCATCCCCCAACCTTGCTCTGTGTACCCCTTTGTTTCATGGTCACTTGTATCCTTTCTAGTAAACCTGTAAACATAAGTGCAGTGTTTCCCTGTGTTCTTGAGCAAATTATTGAGCCCAGGAGGGTTTGTAGCAATGCCATCATTATAGGTGGTTGGTCAGAAGGGGGTAGATCACAACCTGAGGCTGGCAATAGTGTGCGAGGTAGGAGCAGTTTTGTTGCACTGGGCCTTAAACCCGTGGGACCTGACACTCAGACAGGCAGAGTCAGAATTGAATGGAATTATTAGGACAGTTGGTTGGTGTCACTGGAGAGTTATTTGGTGTGGCAGAGAAAACTTACACAGATCTGATCACAGAAATGTTAGGGGTTAGCCACACACAGGTGGAAATCATACAGGGACCGATTTTAAGACTAACATAAAAGTTTGTTGCAAGAAAGACACACAGACAGACAGTGGGCGTGGCTCCTCCATAGACGGAGGCAATGGCAGGCACAAAGGAACCTTGTTACTGTCCTCGGAGGTCCGCTTCTGGTTTTCTAAATCTCAGGGCAAGCAGCAGGCTGCTTCTTTGATTAGCTGTTTTCATCCTGCTCCATATCACCACAGAGTGCACCTGCCCTCCTGTCCCTATTAGGTGGCTGCTTCAAAGTCCTGTTAGCTCCCTGCCTCGGTTTCCTGCCTGGGCTCCGGAGTCACACAGTCTGGGTTTAATGCAGTTTTCTGGAGCTTCTCTGCTGTTTGGCCTTGAATGAGTTGATTCAATCTGCTTTAAAGTGCTGTTTGCTTCTTGCTAGAGAATTGTTCTGCATTGAGTGTGGGACTAGCAAAGAGCAGTGATTTTTTGGGTCTTTTTTCAGAGCTGGCATGGTGTTATGGCTTATGTCTGGAAGTCCCCCCAGAGCCCCATGCAGTCATTTTCAGAGGTGGCTGGATTTGGAGTGTGTGATGCTGGGATGCAGGGCGTGTGATTGCTAAATCAGACCACTGATTGGTCTGGCATTGCTCTGCGTGTGGGTAATGGGAGGGCTCACCCTGGGTGTGAGTGCTGCCCACTTTCAGAGTGTGTACGCTGGACAGAATGCAAGGGACAGGAAGAGCCTACGTGTTCTCATGGGCCTGCTTGCCATGGGCTACTTCTCCTCTGTGATGCCCCTCTGCCATGCCAGCCTCCCCTGGAGCCAGCCACCTGTGGACTGAAAACTCTACAAACCAGAGTGTGGATAGTTTGTCTCAGAAATGAGAAAATTAGCTAAGACACTTGGATTCCATGCCCTTCTTCTGTCTCGCAGGGGCCCTGGCTCTGGCTGTGGGGACACGTACTCTTCTGATTTACTATTTCTAGTTGGTTTAAAGCAATGGGAAAGAAGAGGAAGGCTGACACCAGGGTGGGATTCTTCCTTCCCATGCTGTTAGTGGGTCTCACAGTGCTCCATCTTCTCTGTTGCTCCAGGGTTTTCTGGGTGACCTGACCCAGCATAGGATCTGTTAACACTGTCCCCTGCCTTCCCCTACCTGGCTAAGGTTGGCCATGAATATCCATTGCCTGTACTTCTGTACTGATTTTCACCCAGGGTGAATTCATTTAATTTTCTCCATTAAATTCTTTCCATTTAAGTGCATGTAGTGATTACGTTTTCTTACTGAAAATCTGAATGATACAGCAAGATGAAGACATTTTCAGACATTCATGAACCCAGAAAGCCTTTTCTGGCATAATTCTTCTTGGAGAGTTCTGTGAAAAAAACAAGAAGGGCTCCCACCCCAGAGAGCAACAGGGATTACTAAATCCAATTCCAAAGTGTAGTGCAGGGAAATCAGGATAAAAGCCATGTCACAAGCTGGGAACACAATAAACTGTAGAACCAAAGGCTCCAAGATGCAAATTAAAAGTCTGCCTCTAAAAATAAAAGCCATGGAGAATCACAAGTCATTGTGATCTAAATTTGAAGCAAAATAAAATATTTAATGATTTTAAACACAGTTGATAGAGTCAAGGGTTCTTTTCTTTTTATGACCTAAGGGTTGACATTGGCCTTGTAAACAACAATACATAATTCTAGCATTATATTTGGTCTTGATATAAAAAATATTTAGTTGTATTAATGTAGGTGCTGTTTGTCAATTTTTAGCATTTAAAGTTAATCTAAGTAAGAAAACAGTGAAAGTTCTGATCTTGGTTAAATTGAGAACACTTAGAAAGTTATTACTTTTCAGAGGTGTCTTCCAGACATACCTGGGTTTTGAGTCTGTTGCAAGACTCTACCTCTTCAGTGTCCTGGGGGAGAGAAGTTGTTGCCCACTGGGCCCAGTCACTGTTCTTTGGCACTGGCCCACAGCATTTTCTATGACCCTTAGGCAATCTCAGTCTTGGTATACCACGAGGAGCAGCTGGTTAGAACAGTTATGCCATTTTGGCTAAAGTGGTACAATCAGCAATAACAATAGCATTAAACAAAGCCTAGAAAATGACAAACTTAGATAACCAATAATTTGCCACCTTTAACTCTATGAGCTAGATTTGAGTTTGAGTTTTTTTTTTTTTTTTTTTTTTTTTGTGTCTTTTTCTTTTTTTATCGGTACCGGGGATCGAACTCGCGACTGCCTGCTTGCAAGGCAGGCGCTTATGCCGCTGAGCTAAATCCCCAGCCCCTATGAGCTAGATTTGTATTCTATAACAAAATAAACATATGTAGTTATGTCGCAAAAAAATGTATAATTGAACTGAGAACCTCACACTTGCCAGGCAGGCACGGTGCCACTGAGCTAAATCCCCAGTCCCTATATAACAAAATCTAAAACAAACCAGAAAATTACATGCAGTAATAAGCCCTCAATATGCTAATTTTACCCTTGGGGGAGAAAATTTGAAAGGACTAGGAGAAAAATAGAGAAATAAAAGAGGAAGAGATTAGAAGCAAGACAGGAGGGCAGCGGAGGATGGTGTGAACTTTGGGGAACTGGTGCAGATGACAGGAGGGAAAGAGAGGAGAAAGAAAAACAACATCAAACGACGAGGACCCCTAAATAAAAACAAGAAGAGGGACATGGGGAAAAAGAAGGAAAGAAAGAAAACGTCCACCTCCAGGTTTGTCTTGGCAGTCACTGGTAGACGGCACGTGGAGGCAAAGTCTGATTCACGCCAGAGGCCAGCAGTAGCTTTACAGCAGGGCAGCGGATGATCTCAGCAAGCCTGCACCTTTATTTTCCCTGAAGGTCAGGCTGGTTTCTGCCCACGAGACCGACACCAGACCCATTTAGTCTGCAGCTGTCCACGCACCTCCTGCAGGCCTGACCACCCTCCCCGGGAGCCGCTCGGTGGAGCCAGCAGTTGTTCTGAGTTCCGAGCTCAGTTGCCTCCGAGATGCCTCCCACCCAATCGCTCTCTTTGGTGGGACAGCCAGGTCCATCCCACTCGCCATCCAGGGTGGTCCCCGCGTCCCCTGCTCTGTTCACTGCTGTGTCTCTCTGGGGAGGCCTCTGGGTTGCCACCGATGCAGTGAACCACAGACTCGGGGAGAAGGTGCCACCCACTGCCGCCGCCTCCTTGAAGTTTCTCTCTGCTGTCTCCCAGTGGGCATCAGTTCCCCCTTCAGACCCTCCCCGGGTCCAGGGGACTCACTTCCCTCCTCCTACCCTTCCTTGCATTGCTCTGTCCCAGAGTCTGGACAGCAAATCTCAGAGAGCTGTCTCTTTGCTATTGACCGCTCTGCTACCTGTCTGATCTTGGTTGGTGCAGAGATACATAACCACGGACAGTCTTAGGGGTATAAAAGCACAAGTCAAAATCAAAGCTGCAGAGGTCAGAGGAGGACAATTGGAGGGAGACCAGAGGATTATTATATTCATTTTGCAAAGAATGAGCTCCCTAAACTGGGTGAGACAAGTAGGGGACTATGACATTATTTAAAATTATTAAGGTAGCCAGTAGAAGAGATAAAACATTGTTTTATCTCTAGGGGACCGGGGTGCAGCTCATGTGAATTCAGGAGGTACTCCAGTTCCAGAAATACACGGCTCCGGGAAGTACAGAGAGAAGTGGGGTGGTCGGTGTCCTTGCAGCCTAACTCGCTTATTCTTGAATATATTACCATGTATGTCTATGCTTTAAGCCATGAGAGGTTTCAAAGTGCGCTGTATTTCCTCCACTTGGCTTTATATTTTGGGTTATGTATTGTGAAGCACTTATTCTCTTTTTCAGAGAGGCTTTTGCTTAACCTTTAGCTTTTGCTTTTGGGAATGCTGAATGACCGAATGTCCCACTCTTCTTCACGTGAGAGGTCCAAATTTCTTACGTGATCGAGAGGCAACACCAAGTAATGGTTGTGAGCATGGTTCAAGTCTTCTTAGCTACGCGGTGATGAGCATATCATGAAACTTCATTGAGCTTCTGGTTCTCATCATACAACAGACACATTAAATATCAGGGTGATGATGACCAGGATTATTCCATAGGAAGCATGTACAATGGTGTCCAGTCCCTGGCGAACACTATGTAAGTACTTTTTTTTTTTAAATTACTGTGCTAAGATTTTTTATGATCTGGGTCCAGGGCACCTCTCCTTACTTGCTTTCTGAACTGTTTGCTGTTCTTTTGTTTTCTATTCTGTCTCAATATCTTCATTTTCAAACCAAACCCCTTCAGGGTCCAGCTCACAGACCACTTCTCCACATAGCTTTTGCAGTGCCCAGCTGCAATTACCTTTTCCTCCTCCACACGCCATGCCTGTTAGCAGTGCCTGGGGGCTTGTGGGTCATACTGTTGCTAACAACAAGACTTGAAATATTGAATTCAACAGAGTTCTGTTCACTAAAGATCGGCTCCAAAATCAGACAGCATCAGACCCAGAATGGTTCAGAGAGCCACTGCGGGGATGCCACAGGGCTGGGTAACATCTGGAAACTGAGAATGGGTGAGCATAGAAAGATACCTGCTTGGATTAGGCTGGGAGGCTGTCTTACTTGAACCTGGCTGGAACCTGTCTTGAATCCCAGTTACCTGTGATTGGCTGAAATTCAGCTACTTATGATAAGGGTAGGTTACAGTCTGCTTACAGTCAAGTTAGGTTACAGTTCACTATTTAGGAGAAACCCTGAGGTCAAACATAAAATATAAAAGGAGGTAGCTTCAGACCAAACCAAATTTCTTTTAACAGTTCCTACAAGCATCCTATTATTGATGTATATATATATATGCATGTTCTCCCAATTAGATCAGGTGCTGCAGGAAGACAGGGAATTTAATTTCCAAGTGACTGGCAGAAAAAGAGGTGTTTCTTAGACATTTTTAAATGTACACAAACCAGAGAAGAAGAAAAACCTAAGCGATAGGGTACCCTAATTAAACTAAGAGGCTGAATCACCATGTCCTCTCTGGTAAAATCCTCATGCTGGTTTCTTTTTTGTTTTTTTCTTAGAATGGGCTGCCATATGCTTAGAATGTTTTGGTAATAAATCCAGCTTGTACTTCCAGGAAATCTTTTGGGGCTGAGTGCTGAGATTCATCAGAGTGGGGTCCCTTGGGTTTCCTGAACAAAGATGGAGATTTTCGCCAGAATGCTGCCTCATTCCTGTGTGACAGTCCAGCCCTTCAATCCAGGCAGTTTGTCACCGACAGAATTTTCATTTTTGTTTCTGTAGATGGCGCAAGCTGCACACGTTAAAATCAAACAGGGCTAAAGACAGCCTTGCCCAGAAGTAATTGAATATCCGTTGGCTTTTTATTCTTTCTCTGAAGCTTCATGCTTCTTATTTATTTATCCTTTGAGAATATCCCTAAGCAATGTTCCGGAGTTCTTGAACTAAGGCAGATCATTAAAACCAGGTCTTTTAACAGCAGATCCAGTATCTTTGGATAATTCTGGTTTTAAAGAAAAGAGAATATTCGTACTAAAAAAGCATTCATTATTTATAGTGATTCTGAATCGATTACAATGTAGGTTAATTTAAATCATGTCTGAATCATGTCTGGTTAAATACAGAATCCTAATTATTAATCTCCACGGCAGCATGAATATTCCACCATTTCATATTTTATATTTTATGCTGACTCTTTCTGTAACCTCATTATACTTCTAAGTAAAAGCCCTGACATCTCTCCACTTGCCTTTTCAAAGATACTTTCATATTATTAAGGTGAGGATTTGATATTATGCTTACGCCAATATTTTATATTTGAAAAAATAATTATATCAAGGATTAAAGGTGAGCATGTTGTGCTTTGCCTGTGAGTTCAATCTGGCAGTGAGCTCAGTGTAACAGAGTGAATAAATCAGTAGTCTCTGCTTTTCAAGATAGATCCATTCCCTGTGGTTACACATACACGTGCCTGCACACACACGGAGAGCACGCATTGTCCACGTGCAAGCGGTGATCAGGAGAGTTGCACTGGACACATGGAGAGGAGGACCGTGGCCAGTATTCTGCATGCGACACCGTGGGAGAAGATGAGTGAGGTATCTTTAGGATGGGGACCTGTGCGGTGTTGACCCAAGGACCTCTCCTTAGAACTCCGTGCTTGGCTTAACTTTAAGCTTTAGCTGTACTGAAATTCATAATAATTCATTTAACATTTTCATTGGTCCCTTTCGATTTTGCAGATCAGGGATGCTTTTGTCTGCAGGCTTACTCGCTTCAAGAACAAGCCACAGGGTCAGTGTGGGGACTTGCAACAAAGGCCACAGCCTATGTGACTCTTGGAAGTCCTGAGATTGGATGAGAAGGACACCCACTGAAATGTCGCCTGCTGAGAGCCCCAGCACAGGGTCACGTCAGAGGCTGTGCATGGGGCAGCCTCCTCAGTGCAGCCCAGCAGAGGACAGCTGGACACTCTGCTCCCAGCCTTTGCTCGCCCAGGTCTCTAAATGCACACAGCGCATTCATCCTGAGAACTTTGTTGTTAGATATTTTTGATGCTTTTCCGGAAATACCCTCATCACCTCCCATTGCATTCGTTTCCGGAAAGGATGTCATCCGGAACGGATCTCCTAGTAGGGGGAGTGTATTTCCTTCCAGTTCCTCTAAGTAAGACAATAAAAGAGATAGAATCAAGCTGCCTACATACTTAGCTGAGTGAGGTCCTAAAATTCATCAGCAAATAGGATGACTTGAAATCTGGAGCTGCATCTCCTACCTATGCTCCTTTCACACCGACAGGCACCTTTGTCAGCCGCTTGCGTGTCTGTGTTCTTCAGCAAAAAATAAATGAGGCTGTGCTTAATCGAGTTCTCCTTGGAGCTAGCTGGCCCTGCAGGTTTTAAAATTAGATCCAGGTCCGAACTCGGAGCCTGCATGGCTTGATTCCTGCTTTCCATTCTAGATGATGAATGGAATGGATGAATGGACCTCTGGGCACACTGCACATGGCTTCAGGGGCTTGTCTACCACAGCTATTGATACTATCATGCCTGTTTAATAAGAGAACTGTCTCTGTTCCAGCCTTAATAATAAACATTTTGCTAGGGACTCATGGACTCAGCTCAATAAAGATTCCACGGCCACACCTGTACAGTCAACATGATGGAGCTTTTGAGCCTTGTCCTTCAAAGAAACTCGAGTGGAATTTAAGTCCAAACCCTTCCCATGGAAAGGCAACCTACTCGTTGTCCGTTTACTGCTTATTCTTAGTTCTAGCTTAGAAATGCAGGCATGGAGGCTTCCCCAGGCGTTCCCCAGTGTCAGGGCTACTGGTAGCCAGAGCTCAGGAAGATCTTAACTTTCCTCTCAAGTGACCTGTCCAGAAAAAGGAAGGGATTTTTTCAAGGTTAATAGGTTTGTTAGTACCCAGTTGAAACATACAGTCTATATTTTGAGGCTATTTTCGGGGGATGAAGTTGTCAAGTACTCAGAGCAGTCAAGCTTACCGCACACAGGAGCGTGGAGATTGCATATTGGCTATAAGCTGAATGATCAGGGCAGCGAGGAGGTAGTGTTCGCTTCCTCTGGCCAGGCTGTGGTTCTCATGAGCCAGTGGGAGAGCAGGGCTTTGTTCCGAAGTCCTCGGACTAATACCGTCTGTGAGCAATGAGGTCTGCTAATTTCATCAGGAAACACTCACCTTACCATTTCTGCAGGAGTCACGGAAGCTCGCAGAATCTGGCATCAGTAAACCGCTTTTAACACACTGGGTTTACTGTAACAGTTTAGGGCAATTGTCAATCCCAGTTAATTTCAGATGTGAGTGAACATACATCTTTAAAATAAAAACCGGGGGAGAAAACAGTTTTTGTCCTTGTATGTGTACGGGGACAGAGCATGCAGATTAACATTCTGTGTTGTGTTTAGAATTACACTCATTCCTGGTGTGATCCTGCCCGTCTAGTAATCCTTTTGTAATCGTTATACATTCATTTAATAATGGTTACGATAAGAAGGCAACTCGGAAATATTTGTGGGGACGATTGTCTATTAATCAGCATTTCTCTAGAAGTACACACTAAGAGTCTCTCTCCTTTCTGATGAACGCACTGAGCAAAAGTGCCCAGATGCTGAGTGATTTTTGTTTCTGTCCACACTTGGGTTCTGTTATCAAACCCCAGGGCTGAACATACAAATTGTTGTAATCTTTTCATGCAGACTGGAGGCTCCTAAGAAGTGAACAAGGTTTTCCCAGAAATTTGTAAAAATTAAATGATCTACAGATGCAAGGAGGAGCGAAGAACATGTCAACTTGTGCTCGCTCTCGCTGTCTCTCTCTCTCTCTCTCTCTCTCTCCCTCTCTCTCTCTCTCTCTCCCTCTCTCTCCTTCGTTTATATTCTGCCGACACATTTCGGTTGAGTCATAATTACTCTGAGAACAGTTGCAGTTTTGTGAGCCTGTTCTGTTTTCGCCCAGAGACAGGTTTAGAAAACCTTCCCGGTCCCATCAGCACCTCTGGTGTCTCCCTGTTCCCTGGAGCCTATGTAGGAGCTGCTCCTGCCATCGCATCTACCAACCCACCTCTAGCCTTTGGAGACAGAAAAGCAGCTCCTATGTCAAGAGGCTGGGCTCGCCCCCAGGCGCTTTCCAGGAGCAGGGAGTCGTTGCTGGCTGCAGATGCGGCTGCTGTGGGTCCTCGCGTGGCCCCGCCTGGGAGCTGCGGAGTGCTCCAGGCTGAAGAAGCAGGTTTCTAAAGGAGTTTTGGAGATCGCTTATCTGTTCCTGTGGCTTCTAATAGCTCTTTGCTTCACTCTAGTAAGAAGTTTCTCCTGCTACTTCAAGTTGCTATTAAAATAAATGCACAGAGGCCACCCTTCACCTCTGCAAACGAGGAAAGAGAGAACATTGAGACGCAGAGAATTTCACTTTGCACTTAGAGCTTATAAAGGTTTCAGGAAAGAACTCGGGAACCAAAAAGTCAACAGGACTCTAGGAACTGTCAACATACTTGTATAAAGAAGCAAACGCGTCTCCATCACACAAATGAGCAGGGCTAACACTTGTCTACAGAGAAAAGCTCTTCCAGCTGTTTGCCAAAGCACAGGTCCACGAGCCGCTTCATCTGCCATCTCCACAGACACGGCGTTATTAAAGCCATTCACCTCCTGGGAATATTTTCAAGAAAATGTATTCCCTCTTGGGAAATTACGAAAAATTTAGAATGGCACATTTTAAGCTAGTGAATATTAATACAACCTTTCCTAACTACTAATAAAAGAATCCAGTCCCTGTTTGTGAATATATTAAGGAGTTGGCCGGGATGTTTCAGGTAGACAGCAGTGATTTCTTCACTGTGACATGCATTTTAATGCCGGGATTTACACAGCACTGTAAGCGCAGCGCCGCGCGCTTGGTAGAGGTGCACAGACGCGCCGTCTGTGGTCTCACGAAAAACGACTGCAGTGTTTGCCTTTGAGATAAATAGCTCAGAGTCCTCAGTTCCACTTTGTGACGTACACCCTTCTAGGGTGTTGCTCCTGACGAGAGCCTCAACTGAGCTGACAGCAATACGGAGTTGACTGCTTTGATTTGGCTGTGATGGATCCAAAGAGCGGATGGGAATCAGGTTGATTTGGTGAGTCCAGTGGTTTGGGAAAGGTGGATTGCAGATGTTTTATACATATGGCACTTAAGATCCAACATGACAGTAAAGTAGTGGGACTTTTCTGGCTGTGATTCAGTTATGAAGGCTCAGCCCTCACCAGTGGGTTTAGCTCCGTTTGAAAGGATTGGGAGAGATCCGCCCTCCCATTCCACCACCTGAGGACACTGCGATAAGACCCTGATTTTAGGTGGAGACGCAGGCCAAGGCATCTACTCGAACCTTGCTCTTGGCCCTCCCATCCTCCAGCACTGTGAGTAATACACTTTTAGTGTTCATAAAGTACCCAGTTTAATGCACTTTGGTACAGCGTCAGGGATGGGTGGAGACCCAGGAAGGAGTTTTGCACAGCACCAGCATGGAGGGTGTCCTGAGCAGGGTTGGAAGACCGAAGTTGGTGTGGAGAAGTAGGTCAGGCCATGAAGAGTGTTACGTGACATGCTAAGAAACTCTGTTTTATTCCATAGGTACTCGGTGCACACTGAGTTTTTAAAAACTTACTTTGAAAGAATCTTAGACTTATATAACATGAGATCCAAAAATAGCACACAATCCCATGTTATTATCCAGATTTTGCTAATGTCAGCATCATGCACGGCCATCACAATTATTAATGAAGAAATTAATACTGAATATTTGTACTTTATTCAGAGTCTTATTAATTTTCCTGCTAATGTTCTTTTTCTTGCTCTAGGGCTTAATCTAGGACACCACACTGCTTTAGGTCATCCTGTTTCCTTGGTATTCTTCAATCTGTGACAGCATTTTAGGCTTTCTTTGCCTTTTTTGGAACTTCATGGAAAATGTACTAATCAAGTATTTTTCAACATGTCTTTCCATTTGGTTTTCTCTAGAGTGTACTCACTCTTATGCTGATAGTATGAATTTTTGGCACAAATACTACAGAAATGATTTGTTTTTCTAAGTGCAACCCATCTTGTGGTAGTTGAGGTGGACTGGTTATTATTGGGGGTACTGATCTCAGTCCCTTGTCTAAAGTGACAATGCTAGGTTTATCTAATCAAAAAGTATCTTTTCATTTGTAGTCAATAAATACGCCAGGGGAGCATTTTTAAATAAATTTCTTATTTCTTCTTATGCTTTACCCACTTGTTTTAGCATTTGTGCATGGGTCTTTTTTTTTGAGGCAGGGTTTCACTGTGCAGTTCAGGCTGGCTCTGAGCTCACTTTGTAGCCCAGGCTGGCCTTGAACTTGCAGGGATCTTCTGCCTCAGCCTCCCAAGGGTTGGTAAGTCAGGTATGAGTCTTTCTTGTAGCCACGATTACTGTGGTGTTCCAGGGGTGAATCTGTATCTTCATCATTCTGTCTATGTTTGTTGTTTGGGGTTCTTTGTGGAAAGGAGGGGTCACTCAATTATTTTTAGGAATTATAAGATTACTGATGCTAATATGATATTTGGAAGGAAGCAAGACTCAGAAAGCATAAATTAGGAGACTGTTAAGCAACTCAGGGAGATTATAAGGACCTCAATTTAGGCAGCCCGTAGGGATGCAGGCAGTAATATGAGAAATTCTGAAGAGGTGGGAGCCAAAGAACATGGTGATTAATTACTTCTGAGGAAGGAAGGCATCAGAGAGGGCACCGAGATTTCTGTTCTGGGGATAGAAAAGTTGGAGGAATAAGCGGGCTTGGAGGAGTCAGCTGAGCTGCCCTCAGCTCTGGACAGCAGGGTCAGGGCATATCCGCGTGAAACTTGTCTAAGTACAAAATCCTGGTGTTTAGCAGAGTAGCCCAGCGTTCAATTACAGCTCTGAAAATTACCAGCGTGTAAGTGAGAATTAGAGTCAAGGAAATGCATGACATTGCCAGGGAAAAGCCATGGCAAGCTAAAGGATGGCAGCTTTGGGAGGCAGAAAGGGGAGAAAGAACTCATGCAGAGAGAATTAAAATAGACGCCTTGAAGACTAGAGGGAACCAACAGGGCGAGAAACACACAATCCGAGGGTGGGTAGGGGCATCTCACAGAGGAGGGGGTGCTCCCCAACGTCCAGCCTGGCCGGAAAGTCCAGGGAGACCAGCAGTGTGGGAGCTGCAAGCTCCCTTGGGTGCTGCGGAGCTGAGGTCCATGAGAGTCCCAGGAGGGTGAGGAGGGGGTGCTGGCAGGTAACTTGTCCTTCCTCTGGGTTTGGGGGAACCTGGAAAAAGATGGGAAGATAACAAGGGAGGAGACTCAAGCCAGGAGGTCACTACGGCATATTTTCCCTTTGTCGGAGATGTTTACAAGGGTGTACTTATTCTCAGACATTAGCAGGGTAAGTCCCCTTATTTCTGTTAACAGCCACACTGTTTTCTGGGGGTAGTCCAGGTAATCTGTCATCCTGCTGTCGGTGAGTGTGTCCAGCTGGCCGACACAGCCTCACCTGCAAGATTGCATGGAAATGTTATTACGTCTCAATTTAGCTCGTTGGGTGCACCTTTGGCCGATGCCTCAGCCTGCTTGGTGGATGGGTGCATTTGCTTTGCCTGGTCAGGCAATCGGGGCGCGCCAGTCCCCAGCCCCACAAACACTTCCTCATCACTGAGCGGAGAGCTAGGTGACCAGAGAGGTGATGGCTCAGCTCAAACCCATCCCCAGGAGAGGAAAAGCAATTCACAACGCACACCTGGAGCGCAGCGTGGCCAGAGAATTATCTTTGTGTCATGTTACTTAATGTGTAGGTCAAATTTTCTTAGGAAACAAAATTTCCTTTACTGTCTCCAGCAAGAGAAATATTTGCCTCTAGAATAGTCTCCATGCATGAAAAATTAAGCCTCTAAAGCAAAACCATTTGAGCTAAAAGTACAAGATAGTCTCAGAGCTGAGTTTGGGCTTGTAACTATTTATTTACATTTATAAGGGACTTGTTTTTATTGCCCAACAGTGGAACAATATTGCAGAAATTAAAAACACAGAAAAGGAAGCCACCCCAACCATTAACATGGTTAGTGCCCTCCAGTGCTTCCCTTATATCTTGCTGTAGGCATTCATGTTTTTATATAACCTCAGTGGTATGGAATACGCTGCTACGTCCCGGGTTTTTTCATCTTACTCTTATACGTTATTTTGAGTTCCTCTGTAGCCTTTATAATTAATCTTTTTAATTGACTGCATAATATTCCATGGGATGGATGTGCCATAAGTTAATTAAACTTTCTTCTACCTCAGGACATTTAGTTTGCCTCTAATTTATTGCTATTGTAAATAAAGCCACATTGGAAAACTGTAGTTTTTCCCTATTTTAAAATTATTTTCTTAAGATATGTTTTTAAAAATGAGGTTACTGAGTTGCAGGGGATGAACACTGGAGTTCTCTGACCTTCTCTCTCTCTGTATTGCTGGTTAAAGGGATATATCGCTTATAATGTCACCCGCTAAGGTTCGGCAGGTGGGTAGGGGATCCAGGGTGTCAGGGCAGGGTCAGGGAGGTGCAGGTCCTGTCCAGAGGTCTCCGGAAAATGAACTAGTGAAGCTGAAATCCCACCATGGAGTCCGAGCCAAGGGAGGGATGGTGAGCAGGGGAACGGGAAGTTGGCATTGAGGAAGATGGGCTGAGAGGTCTGGTGGACACTCAGAGGACCGAGGAACCCTGGACAGGCAGGAGCCGTAAGGGGTGTGGGGGACGGAGCACTTTTAGCCAGTGGGTTTGCCACACGAGGGTCCCAGCACCCGCCTGTGGAGTGACACATTCAGAGTGTTTCAGACACGCGTGGTGACACTGGGCTCGGGGACCCCTGAAGCCTGTGGTCAGTGCCTGTGGAACGCCGTCTTAAGCTCTTCATGGATCCTGTCATGCAGTCTTCATTACCACGGTAACTGCCGCGGTCACTCGCATGGTCATCCGAGAAGACTGAGGTCTTCTTGCGCCCAGGGGACTTTCCCAAGGGGACACAGGGTCAGCTGCAGGCCCAGCGCTCAGCCCGGCGGCTGCACCCGGAGCACTGCCCCAGCTGACTCAGCCTGTGAGTGTACCGTGGGTGAACATCAGCCCTGAGCTCCTTTGAGTTTGTGGTGTTCTGGTTTCTAGTCTCGTTCCACATCTGAAAAGGACACTCATGCTATTGGCCATCAGTGCTAGGAACACTCCCCTGACGCTGACATGCCCAGACTACGGCTACTTACTGTCAATGTTCAAGCTTTTGAAACAAAAACAGTGCGGCTTCTTCTTCCAGGCACTGACCATATTGTACACGGAGAGCAAAGTACCGTCATCAGTGCAGCCAAGGTAAGGATGACTGCAGGCCTCTCTGCAGGCGGGGGGACATTCCGTGCCGCAGCATCTTCTGGGGAGACTTAGCCCTACACATGCCCACACGCGTGTTCTGGGAAGCGGCTTCAGCGGCCCAGGTTGTCCTCTGGGTTTGAGATGTCTTGCTGATTTATTTTTCATCAACAGCCTTTTAAATAAAGCTTTGTGTTCAGGTTAATTTTGAAAGGGCTTCCAATTCCAGCTTTTCCCCGGTAGGAGCTGGGAGATGCCTCTCCTATCCTGATGAAAATCGGTACTAAACAAACTGAAACCTGATGACTTTTCCTGACAGTCC